GATCTTAATTTTAAAAAAAAAAAGTTTTGTGTGATTTATAAGAAATGTTTTTATGCACGATATGTCATAGTTTGAGATACGAGTGTTAAGAAATGGATAAAACTTTATAATTAGTTTTAGATATATTATTTAATTTACATATTTTATTTTTTAAATATTTATTTATATTTTAATCTTATTATTTTAATTTCGTTTATCGAAATAAATGAAAAAAAAAAAAAAATAAATAAATAAATAAGAACATTTTTTTTATCAATCAACTCTATAGGGAAAGTTTACGTTATTTATTTGTAATTATATATTGTGCCTAGTATAGTTATTAGTCCATTGTTTGATCAAGATAAATCAAAACATTGAATAAAATTATAGTTTAAAAACTACAGTTATATAGTTAGGTTAGGCGAAAGTTAATATGTAAAGTTTAGTATGGCGAAACTAAACAAATAATTATATAATAATTATTTTACAATATTATATTTTCGTAATCAGGTGATTAACAGTTGAATAAAATTTTGTCAAAAGTTTTATGGGTGTTTTTGTGTGTGAACGAGAAAAAGTTAGGTAGACGTGTGTTCTGCAAATAAAAAGTTATTTTGACGTTAAACAATTTTCTATTCGTTTTCAAATGACCGTGAGTTAGATATTAGCGTTTCATAGTCGCAAAAGCTATATTATTGTTGAAATACTACTAGAGTTTGATTCCAGAATCTATAATGTTCATGAATTATTTCATAAAATAAATACATGATCACAATCGTTATATGAATATTTTAGTTTAGTTATTTAATGTAATGACTTATTATCGCACAAACATTTTTATTAGTCTTGAAATTAAAGATTTGAGCTTCCTCTACGTCCCCTCACTGGATTTTCGACCCCATATCGATCTTATTATTTGCAAAACGCTTCGTGCTCTAGGTTTTATAAGGCGAGATTCATCAAATTTTGATTCATCCAAATGCTTATCTGTGCTGTATTGCTCGTTAGTTAGAAGTTTATTAGAATATGGTACCGTTGTTTGGTCTCTTTACACCTTAGGTAACATGCGGCGTCTAGACAGAGTTCAGAATCGTTTTCTGAATTTTGCTAGTTACCGCCTGAACATTCCCCACCCGCCCCACGACTACAGCATTATTAGCAATAAGTTAAATTTAAAATCTTTAACCGAACGCCGTAATATTTTCTGTTGTAATTTTATTAATGGACTGATTGAAGGAACTATCGATTCACCCCGCTTGTTAGAACAGCTCGACATTCGAATACCCCGATGCACCAGGTCTAAGGAATTGTTTTACCTACCTACGAATCTATCTAACTTTGGAAACAATTCTCCTCTAGTTAGGATGATGTCTATTACCAATAAACTCAATGCTTAATATTTTCGTAACTTGATCAACTGTTAAATCTTACTTGTATACACATTTTAAATTTTACCTTATTTTTGTTTTGTAATTCATATCTATTTAATGTTTGATCGATATTAATCGTATTAATTGATTACTTGTTTAAAAGCCGAATAGCGTAAATTATAATAAAATAAAATAAAAGAGTGGTAAAATTTTTGGAATGTATTTGTTTGCGACGTCTCTAAAATGCTATCCTAATTGCGTCTAATTAATGCAGTGTCCGTGTGTGCGAGTAGGAGGTAGGTTGATAGATTTAATGAAAATCAACACCGTTAAAATCTAGCCTTATATTTTATAGCGTATTCATGCGTGTACTTAAAAATCAATGTTGGCCTCCCGTATATTATGATTTAATAACCGCTCGGAGAACAATAGTTTTTTTTTTTAATTTTAAATCGTGTGGTTGATATTAACTAATAATTATAGTGATTTATTGCGTATAATGTTTTATGACAGATCATTGGGTTTTATTAATTTTACGGAATCGTTACGAGGACTTAATGTTATTGATGTATTTTCCTTATAATCTAACTCATTGGAATAGCAAATAAATAATGTCCGCAGAGCTAAATACATAGCTAACACTATTGTATTTACTACTCGTAGGAAAATTGTTTACGAAGTTCATTATTGTACAACGCTGTTCCTTTTCCCGTCTTTTCCTCAAAAATGCCGTTATCTTCAATGCGCGATTTTTTTTTTCGTCGTTTTCTTAACATCGTTAATTAATAGAAATGTGGTCAATATATTTTCTGGTGGTGCCCTAGATGATAATAAATTATTGGTTATACTTTATCGGTCAATCGTGCTTAGGCGTATCGTACTCATCGTTCCATAACTCTATTGACAATACCGCTACGTCGAATTTTATAATTTATGGACTAATTTACGATTTACAATTCCATATTATCTGCGTGCGGCGTGTATACCCATTCAAATTTATGACACAGTATTGAATATTGTGTGATTAGTGTGTATTAGGAATAGGTCGTTCATGAACGGTCGTTAAAAATAAACGAATCATTTCAGTGAACAAACTGATTCAAATTCAAAAGGTAAGAACCATTCGTTCATATCATTCAAACGATTTCTACTGATTGGTTTCGAATTTCATATGATCAGTGTTCACTAATAATTTCTTATGTACCAGGTTTTGAATTTTTGACAAATGATTCAATTAATTCGTTTATAAACCTATATCATCTTACGCTTACCCGTTATCGATCAAGTAGTATTTTGACACTGTAGAGTAAAAATTAATTTTACTATCTTTATCATGAGTACCTATACATAAACCTTAAAATATAATTAATGCATATATTATTAAATATTATATAAAAAAATTCATAAAACTGTGAATTATAGAGTAAAAGCTTTGAATCTACACAAATACAACCGTGATAACCGTTGAGATCAATAATTTAGTATGACTATCAATCATTATATTTTTCATTTTTAGCTATAGATTTTTTATTGAAAATCCGTAATGTACATATGTTGTAGAACTTAATTTTGTTATCTTATAATAGTAATTTATAACTCTCACTTACACAAGTCTTGGAAGTAACTGTGTTCAGTAATATCATAATATTTCTGTAATACTGTTCATTGGAAATAAATAAATATTAGTATTAACAGAGAACTCTACATATTTCCACTTTTTGAATAAAATAAACTTTAATGTAGGTACCTATTTAAAATCTTCGAATACCGTTATAATATCTTATTTTAAATGTTTCTCATTAGTTAGATAGTACAAAATGCTAATGAAGTCATAAATTCAAAACTGCGTTTAGATGTATTGAATTATAAGAAAATACTAGTTTGTTGAAAGTAAATTAAAATTAATAAATATTTTGTATTTTTATGTTATAGATATTTGTGTGAAGCACAACTATTTGTATACATAATATGCATAAATCATTAAGGGTGAAGCTCCCAACAGTCTGATGAAATGTAGCATTACTCAGTACACATTAAAAATGCTCTAATTATTAGATATGTATTATTTCAATATTATATTTGTAGAAATTAAAAAAAAAGATTAAATAATAATTTAAAATAAATTAAAAATAAAAAAAAAGATACTATTAATAGGTAATTCATTTTACTACCACAAACATGATAAGTGAACAAAATTTATAAATTCATAAATTCAATCCTCCTTCGTGGTTCTTTGAATTAATGATTGAATTTCAATTCTGTTGAATTAGTGAATTGATTCATTTTTTCCATCCCTAGTGTATATTATTCGATTATAATACTGAACTGCTGTATGTGTGATTGGCGAAACGAAGGTTTGTAAAATTACGTTATAAGATATATTGATTGTTATTGTACATCAGGAGTGTATTTAGATTTTTTTTTGCGAGGGGGGGGAGTTATTTCCTCTAAATAAAATTTCACAATTTAAGTAAACAATTTAAATTTGTATTATATATTATGACTCTTTTTTTTAAAAAATTAATGAAATAAAATTAAATGAAAAACCTTCATAATATTAAAAACTAAATATAATAATAATGAAGCAATTTATATTAAATTTAAATGTAATTGTTACGACTAAAATTGTCGGTTATATAAATATTACACTACAAATTATACACTACATCATACGAACAATTTGAAAATAATAACTCATATTACAATAATAATTTCAGCTTTTACAATTTACATTGTACAGGGTAAAATCAGATTCAAAATGCTTTTCTGGAATTTCGGTGGGGGGGATTAAGGCCCTCTCAGTCCCCTCTATATATATATCCCCTATTGTACATGATATCTACGTAACAGCATGCGGAATTATTTGATTTGTATAAAACAAAATCTTTACGAAAGAAGTAAATGTCTTATGGTACGCGATTTTGTCCAAAGCTAAGAAAACTTAACTCTAAACGGTTTTAGATGTATCCGCGGGAATTTAGTTGTTCTGTATAATATTTTAATTGTTTAAATGACTGTGTTTATTATAACTGGTCTATGATTTCACTATTTTAAATTTTTATATTTTCGTTTTCAGTTTTAATTTATCTAAATACATGGGAAAACATAATATTAATTGGTTTTTGACTTTTTTCCATTTTGCAGCAGTAATATATTATGCTATGTCATGTATGTTTATTTTTTATTTTTTTACTGAAAATGATATATTTTGATTTGACCGTTGAAATTGTTTTCATTCAGAAATTGTTCACAATGAATAAATTTATTAGGTTTTTTAATTTGAAGTATACGAAAAGTAAGCAATAGCTATTCATCCATTTGATAACAAAGCGTATTTAATATCATTCATTTACATAAAAATGCAAAATGTAAATATATTGTAATTGTATTATTACATTTTGTTATTCAGTTTTAGATTCCGAAAATAATTTTTATTTTTCGTCGAACGGTTTAAAAACTTTTAGTCAATATCGTTATGGCATCAAATATTACATTCGACAATAGTTTTTCTTCTATAACTAATGAGGTAAAAAATATTTCAAAACAAACGTTACAGCAAAAACTTTTAGAATTAAAACGACTAAATTGTACGAAGAAAGTTTATATGTCAACATTTATACAAATATATATATTTTTTTTTTTTCGTATCAGACAACATCTGAAGGGTTAGGAGAAGTTTTAGTCCTGGAAGACGATGCAAGATTTGAACCGTATTTCCGTTTTAAGTTACAAATGGTGTTGAATGAATTGAGACGTCTTCCATTTTCTTGGGATTTAGTGTACGTACCGTACTATTTATTTCGCTAAGCTCGGAGCAACTCTATTGTTTTTTTTGTTTATTTATTGTTTTGTGTATAAACAGCTATATCGGCCGAAAGTCGTTAAACGATAACAACGAAATTCGTCTGGAAAACTCGAAACTTTTGGTATGGCCAGGATATTCGTATTGGACGCTTGGGTATTTGCTGAGTGGAAGTGGTGCAAAAAAATTGTTAAACGCCGATCCGTTGAAGAAATTGTTGCCAGTGGACGAATTTTTACCAATAATGTTCAACCAACATCCTAAGTAAGTCACGTGACGTGTGTGTAGCTATAGGCGGTTTACAATTTACATGTATTATAAATCTTACATACTTTAAATATCTACGTATACCTACTGTATTATTTTTGCTAAGTTACTGCGATCTTAGTTTGTATTGAAAACTTGTATTTCAAATCAAATCAAATCTTACCTATGTTAACGAATAATTTTATCCTGAAATAATTAGTTTTGAGAATCCGAGTGGGCTCTGACTGAATATTAAAACAATATTATTTAATTAATTGAATGTTGCTATACGAGTAGAAATCGATTTTGACGAATCGGTCATTACGTTTTAACCTATAAACAGTAAAGTTAAATTCAAGTCATCGAATAAATCGTATGAAAATACGAATTTGAATATTGTCTTTTCCGATAAAGATATAATACGTATTAACATAATTTATTACGTATTATTTATAACGTACATTGCAGTTTTAATTTAATACAGTCAACACTTCACTTATAAAATTATATACTTAATTTTAATGATATATATTTGTATATAATATATACAAATTTTGCTTTTTAATACGTCAGAAAATAATTTTTTTAAATAATACGTGTATAAAACGTTTTATACGTTACATGTATATTATCCCACGTATAAAACGTATAAAATGACTAAAACGTATAATTCGGTTTGTTTTTGAAATTTACTCTTAAAAATTAAACATAATTCCTTTTTTAGATATTAAGTAAGGTTTTTAAATTTTATACATTGTAAAAATATATTTTACTACTTTTTTATCTAATATATCTACTTTAGTTTTTCGTTTATAATCTATTAATATAAAATATTAAAAGTGTTGCAAATATTCCAAGTACAATGAATTTACTATAAATAAATCTGTGATAAAATAATGATAATTATTAACAATAGATTAATAGCACCACAATTGTTTATTAATAATTTATATTTTCTTATTTTATTGTGTTTAAATTATAAATGCTTTTTTGTTTATAAAGGATTTTATTTTATTTTATTTTTTTTTTTTTTTTTTTTTTAAAGGCTTCAAATACAAAGGTTTATTAGCCTACAATGGTTTACATGTTTAATTTATAAATATAATGGAAATTTAATAGTTATAATGTGCTGTCTTTGATCCATTGTCTTATATGTTCGTTGTGAGGTCGGCCATCTTGATAAAATTTACTATGGTTTTTTCTTGTCCTGGTCCGAGTGCATCTTTGAGTGAGGAGGTGTTTATGTTTGCTTTTGTTCTAGCGTTATGGTAAATGGGGCATTCTAGGATTATATGGCTAACGGTGAGTTTGCAGTTGCATGTTTTGCACCTGGGTTTGAGCTCTCTAAGCATAAGGTAGGAGTGAGTGATTTTAGTATGTCCGATACGAACTCTGGCGATTATGGTCTCTTCATGTCGTGTAAGCTTGACTGGAGGGTTCGGCCATTTTTTAGTTAATGGTTTTATTTGTCTGAGTTTATTGTTTTGGTTGGTTTGTTTTTCCCATTGATTTTGCCAGAGGGTATAAAATTTCGTTTTGAGGGCGTGGATTACATCGTCGTATGTTACAATTGGGTATATTTTGGTGTCCGGGGAGCTGGCCGCTTTCATTGCCAGTTCGTCAGCGAGTTCATTACCTGGGATACCGATGTGAGATGGAACCCACATGAGTTTGATGGATTTGTCAGTTGAGAGGATTATGTTTTGAATGCTTTGGGCGAGGTTGCATTTTGTATGTACGTTGGCTATTGAGGTGACCGCGCTCATAGAGTCACTTAAGATGAGAATTTTATCGTGGTTTGATGAGAGTGCGGTTAATGTAGCTTCGAGTATGGCGAAGGTTTCTGCTGTGTATATGTTGGAGAGAGGGTCTAATTTATGAAGACTATTTTCATTCCTATGGGTAATGGCGAAACCGGTTTCATTTGTTGTTTTGGAGGCGTCTGTATAGAAGTGGTAGTAATTTTTGAATTTGGTGTTTATTATTTCGTTGAAAGTATTGATGATCAGACTATGCGGTGTGTTATTTTTGTTGAAATTGATGAGTTCTATGTTGGCTTCTATGTGATTCATGTTTCATGGAGGGATTGTTGGGAACGTTTCTTTTGGTTTTATGTTGCTGATGTTGAAGGATATCTCTTCAAGGATGTCGTGAAGCTTTATATAAAGTGGTTTAAGGAGGTGTTCATGATAGGGTTCTGAGATTGTCCTTATTAAGCCAGTTTGGGGAGTAGACATCTTTTTGGCTGCGAACTTTGTAATTAGGTACTTTTGTCTGATATTCAATGGTAGGCAGTTGGCTTCGCACATCATACTCTCAATTGGACTTGATTTGAAAGCTCCGATGGCCATCCTGATGCCAGCGTTTTGTACAGTGTTGAGTGTTTTCAGGGTATTTTAGTTGGCGAGGCTGTAAATGATTGATCCGTGGTCTAATGTCGATTGTATCAAAGAGTTGTATAGAATTAAGAGTGTTTTGCGGTCGGCACCCCATTTAAAGTGGCTCACGGATTTGATTATATTTAGTTTTTTGGATGACGTTGCTTTCAATTTTTTAATGTGTTCTTTCCAGTTGAGTTTGTGATCGAATGTTAATCCTAGAAGGCGGAGGCTTTTTGTGTCAGGGAGAGCATTTCCTTGCATTTTTATATAAAATGGATTGACACTTTGAGGGGGAGAAAATGAATCCAAATGAATCCTGTTTCTGTAGACCATCGGCTGATGCTGTCGATTGATTTTTGCATGAGTGAGCAGGTAGTTTTGATGTTTGATCCTGAGAGATATAGGCTGCAGTCATCGGCATATAATATAGTTTTCACAGGTGATTTTATGTATTTGCTAATATCGTTAATAGCTATTAAAAAAAGGGTTACACTTAATGAGGATCCTTGTGGCAATCCATTTTCTGTTCCGAATGTCGATGATAGAGTATGTCTGAATTTGACCTCGAAGGTTCTATCAGCTAGGAAGTTATTTATAAAATTGAGTATTTTTCTTTTGAAATTCCATTTGTGGAGAGTAGAAAGTACCCTATGTACCCATACCGTGTCATAAGCTTTAGCGATGTCTAGGGATACCATTAATAAGTGATTTTTTTTTTCGAGCGTCTTGCATATGTTGGTGTGGATGATTGTCAGAGGATCTGAGGTAGATCGGTTTTTGCGGAAGCCGAATTGATGTGGTGAAAGGAGGTTAAGGGTTTTTAGATGCCATGTAAGCCTGGAGTTAATCATGCTTTCGAGCGTTTTACTCATTGTATTTAGGAGGGATATTGGTCTATAGTTATTGATTTCGAAAGGACATTTGCCAGGTTTAGGGATTGGGATTATATGTGATGTTCTCCATTGTTTTGGAAAGGTGCAGTTGATCCAGATGTTGTTGAATATTTTGTGTAGAATGTTTAGTGAGGATTGCGACAGGTTTTGGAGGAATGAAAAAGGTATTCCGTCTGGGCCAGTACTTTTACTAGTTTTTTTTTTCAGTGAGGTATATAGTTCAATGATCGTGAGAGGAGAGTTGATTGTGTTATCCGGGTAATCTGCTTCAAAATTGATCGGGGAGTTAATTTCGACCGTTTTTTTTTAGGGTAACAAAGTCTTTATTATAGTTTTCATTGCTGTTGTTCCGTTGGAAGAAAGTTCCAAAGGCGTCTGAGATTTCTTTTTTATCAGTAATAGTTTTGTTATTGGAATTTATTGTCTTAGTTTGGATCCGGTTATTGCCTTTCATGCTGTTGATCTTGGACCACATGAGACTAGAGGTTGTTTTATAGTTAATGCTGGCTGTGAAACTCTTCCATGATTCGGTTTTGCTAATGTTAATTGTTTGTCGTGAGATTGCTCTGCGTTTTTTGAGTTCTATATGATCTGATTGGAGTTTGGTTTTCTTGAAGCGGTTAAGTGCTTTTTTGTAGTTTTTAATAGCAGTTTCACAATTTTCATTCCACCAGGGGACTTTTTTTTTTTTTTTTTTTAGTATGGTTTGCTTTTACCTATTGTGTATTCAGCGGCTTCAGTGATAATACTTGAGAAAGTTTCGACTATATTGTCTATGTCTAATGATAGATTTGGTTGGAGAAGGGTTTCGAATTGTTTGGTTGTTAATAGGTTGTCGACTTTGTTCGCGAAGGAGGGCCAGTCGGGGTTTCGTAGGAGCCATTTGGGAGTCGATTTTTCTGATGGTTGTGATTTAAGAAGTCGTAATGTTATAGGCCAGTGATCATTGCTGTTGTAAGCCGTTTGAAAAGACCAATCTATAGTTCCACCTAAGGATGACGATGTGATTGATAGGTCGATAGCAGAGAAATTGTTGTGGGTTACATTATGTCTTGTGTAATTTCCATCGTTGAGGAGCACTATTGAGTCGTCTTCTAAAAGTTTTTCGATAGTTTTTCCTCGCCTGTCCGTGAAGTTGGATCCCCATAAAGTATTTCTGCTATTGAAATCGCCGAGTAACATGTAGGGACGTGGTAGTTGTTTAATGAGGTTTTCGAGGTCTGAGAGATTGAGGTCTGTGCTATCCGGGGCGTATATGTTGCACTAGCTGATTTTTTGATTGCTGTTTGAAGTTATTTTTATAGCAATTGTTTCTAATGGAGTATTAAGGGGGATAATTTCATGTTCTGATGATGTTGAGGCAAAGATGCATACCCCTCCACTGGCTCTGGCCTGGTTTGTGCGGTTCTTGAAGTATCCTTTGTAGTTTTTGAGGGTGGGATTTTTTTTATTGTGATTTAGGTTGGTTTCTTGTAAGCAAAGGGCTAATGGTTGGAAGTCTACAACTATTCTGTGGACGTCTGGTAGTTTCTTAAAATAACTATTTATGTTCCATTGGACTATTGTTTCTAAATGTGCTTGGTTGTTGTAGGGAGAGGAATGATTGAAGTATATGATATTGTTATTTGTTGTCATTTTTTTTTTTTAAAAGGCGGTTGTATGGTTGTGTGATTGTATGATTTGGTTTTATTTGTATGATCATGCTTCTGATTCGTTAGAATCATAGAGTTCAGCATTTAGAATTCTTGTGAAGCGGGTAATTCTGTTTTTGATACTGTTGTCTCGCAGACTTGGTTTGATTTTCGAAATTATATCTAATAATTCTTCTTTTTAAATATTGTATTCCTTATAGATTGATAGGGGATCGAAGGGACCTTGGTTATTTTCTAAAATATGTTTAAAGGTATCGTAGTCAATTTTAAAACTATATTGATCGTTAAAAAAATGTTGTATAGGTTCTAAATAAGTATCGATATTTTCTAAAAAAATTTTTAAGGAAGCGGATTTAGTTTTCTTATTCTTTTTTTTTCTATTGTTTTACTTTGGGGGGTTTCAAAGTTTGAAGGAGCACACATTTCGTTTGTTTCTTGAGATATATCCATCGGAGACGAGGGAGCAGATTGGGTATAAAACGAATCTGGCAGTGACCTTTTGATGCCGCTTGGTTGTTCAAGATCCATTTCTATTGTGTCTGTGTTTGGATTTGATTCTAGATCTTGGAGGTCTAATAGGGTAAGGGTTGAGGTAGTAGCTGGTGGATTGTTTTGAGGAGGGGATTCAGGAAGGATCTTTAGAGGCTCTAGTAGAGGTCTTGAGGGTACTGATGAGGGGTGTACTTCTGTAGGTGTATTGTCTATATTTAGAATTTCATCTAGTCTTGAAGCCGAGTTTGGATTGGGTATATCATTATTTTCCTTTGCAATTTTACTGTTTAAAACATTTTGATTCGTGCATTGGGATGCTATATGTCCTTGGGACTGGCATATGTAGCAGTTTAGGGAGTCGTCGGATAGAAAAATCCTATAGTTAGTGTCTTCGTAATTGATAAGAATTGATGTAGGAATTTTAGTAAGATCTTCGTGTTTAATGAACGTTTGGCGACGGAAGCTTAAAATATGTGTGAAATCTTCGACTTTCATGCCAGCCTTTAGAAAAGTTATCGGGCTGCATAGAGATATATTTAGTTTGACGAGTTCGTTTGCGATAACGTCCGGAGGTATGTTAGGGTATACGTTGGACAAGATAATTCTTTTGTTTGGGTTGTATAGTTTACGTAATTTGAATTGTTGTTCTTGTATTAAAATGTATGGGTGCTTTTCAATTAGATTATCAACTAGTGCCTTGCTCGATAGGAATATACATATACGTTATTTTGATATGCGGGACGCAAATAGAATATTGGAAGGTTGAACTAGTTTGCCGATAGCGATTATGTAATCTTTGTGTGGCAAGCTTACATTTATATCAATTACTATAGCTTGTTCTTTTTTCGGTATTAAGCTATTTGCAACAGTAGAAGCAAATGATTGTTTACTATTGTTCGTGTTAGTTGGGGTTTGTGGGTAATTATCAATGGGTGTCTTTGTAGAGGTAGATTGTTGTTGAAGCTTGAGGTCTGATGTTATTTTGGGTGAAATGGGTTTAGCGATGATTTTTGTTGTATTGGTTGGTGGGGTTTTAATTTTTGGTTTTGAACTATGTTAGTTTGTACTGTTTTGCGGATTGAAGGGCTTTTCAAAGCCGCTGGTTTTGAAGTTTGCATTTTGGTGGTTGGGCCTTGCGCCCGGAGAGTTTATTGTGTATTAGTTAATAGTATAATTAACGAGCATATTACCTGAGATACGGCGAGTGTAGGTTCTCTGTTGTACTGCTATCGCAAGCTATTAAAGACGGGACTCGTGAGACGAGATAAGGTACGTGTTGACTATACGGTGTCTAACGACGAACTAGATTTTATTTTTATACAGTATAAAACGTATAAAACTATGTGTTTTATACTATACCGTATTATACGTTTCAACCCTGGTTAATACTCGTAAACGAATATATAAATAAATAGTGTATCTATAGAAATAAATGCATAGCCTGTAGTATTATTATATCTGTAATGTACGCTCGTTTTCGAATTAAAATTTCATCAGGACAATACAAAGTCAATAAAATTGCGACTGAATATGAAATAATATAGGAAGGAATACACTGAGAAAATTTGGTCGTTTTATGGACGTACCATAAATATGTTAATAAATATAAATACTTTAGTTATTATTTATTTTTATTTAAAATGCATTGATATAAAATATTAAAATATTTTTCTCTATTCTATAATGTATAACTCTTTTAAAACCGAATTAATATAATTGTTATTTGTGGTATTTATTATTATTAAGTCTGTATTGATATCATAACTTATATTATGGTTATTTTCTAAAACATGTTTAGCGAAATTTGAATTGAAGTTGTTTTTTTTAATTTTATTTAATTTGATTATTTTAAGTTATTTATTTTGTGTACGAATAAACAAATAAACGTTTACGTGTAACATACAATTCCACGTTTTTAGGTTATATATAAACGTAAGGTATCTAAAGTATTATATATTATCTTGAACTGCGAAAATAATTTTAGAATATAAATGGATTGTGACCAGTCCCTATGTATTATAAGTATTATGTAATATTATATATAAGTCATATAGTTATGAAATTTTTTAAAAAAAATCAAATGAAATTTAATGTTTTGATATTAACTACATTTTTTTTTATACTTTATTACAATATATAAAAACAATTTGAAGGATAATAGTATTGAAATTGTATGATTTGTATTTCAACTATTTTACACATGAGTCTATTTTTGATAATCTATATTAAGTAACTATAACGTGTGTATAATTATCCATTAATTTATGTATAATATAAGTGCATGATAAAAAACATTAAAATCGAAAACAATCACGAACCACTATAATGTGTTTGTTAAGTATTTTAATCATATCATATTTTATAAAAACAATATGTATTGTACAAAATGTTTTTGAAAAATTATAATTAATTTAAGAAATGTCATAAAATATATGATTAACACACAAGACAATCACAACTGACTCGATTAAAAGTTAAATTACCGTATAAACTATGTTGTTTTAAAGTTAACACAAAAATATAATAAAGCGGCCATAGCATTTTTAACGACTACAAAATGTATATAATCGCATGAATTATTCGCGATTATGAAAGTTTTGAGAAAATATATTAATTTGCATTTAAAAAAATAAATAAGTTTACCATCTATGTTTACAAAACTGATTAGCTTTTTCTTTTCAATGTAATTCATGATTTGAAACTTAAAGCCTTTACTTTTAAACTTTTGGTTGATTTTTAGATACAACTAACTAAAATAAAACGTAATACTATTATATTAAACTAACCTTACAATTTTATACAAAAAATTTTTACATTTTTGTATAATATTAGCATAATAAAATAATAAGTAATTCTAAATAACTGATTATGACTAAAAAAGAGATTATAATTGTATATTTTGTTATACATAACATTTTTTATTTTAGTAATCTTTTAATATTTTAGATTCTGAGTGGAGCAAGTAATGTATTACATCATGATGTGTGTTTTGATTTTTCTGTATGTTCACATGATTTGATTAAAAGAATTATTTCCAATTTGTATTTTTTTCCGATATCAAACTAACTACTTAACGTCTAAACAGTTAAACTAAACAGTCGTTTGGGATTTAATTTATTGAAGTTTTCAACAGTTTTGAAAATAATTTATAAAACTGACGAAAAATTATAAGAAAAGACAACATTATCCGGATACTGTTTTTTTAGCAACTATTATAATATCAATTAAATTATCAATGTTTAAAAAAGTTATATTTATTTGAGACTTTTTTTTTTATAAATTTTGTTTGACCAAATTCGTGATGTAATTATAAAGTAATTATACTAATATAGTGTATAAATTATATTATGGTATGAGATTGTTCCTCCTGTTCTCGTTTAGACTTGGAATTTTTTTTCGTAACCAATGGTACATTTATTTAAAATTTATAAGAACGATTCGCATCTATATCATTCAAAAGCCTTTGCATCTCACATACCTCCTCTTGTTTTTCTTGCTGTATCTACATTTTGAAGTATTTAGTATTTATGTAATAATGCATCTGATATTAACTAAAATTGTATAATATTACTTATTTATTTACGATGTTGAAATTTATGTGGCGTTTTGAAAATAAGGAAACCTATATTAAGTAGAATATATTATATAATCGGAACAATATACGGTTACTGCAGCAAGGTGTCATGATGCTTGTAGCTGTCGCAAATATTTTACAATCCCATCACAGTGTGAACACGATTTATTTTAATTCGAGCATAACCTATGTCTGATCTCGTTTGCGAGAAAGAGTATTAAACTGTCACACTGAAATATTTATAACCTTTTTTTATTTTTTTATTTTTTGTAGGACTGAATGGTTAGAACAATTCGACGAACGGAATTTAATAGCGTTGTCTGCGTCTCCTCTACTCGTCTACCCCATTCGGTACACATCAGAAGACGGTTACGTTAGTGATACTGAAGACTCTGTGACTGTAGTGACAGATAGTCTAATTACCGAACAACAAGAAATCAAAGAAGATTTATGATCCAAGTGCCATTATTATCTATTATTATGAATTTTTTTATATCAAAATTTGTTAAGTGCCATATCATAGTTTGATTGTTATATTTCGACTACCATATCTATATGGTTATTTATTATTATTGTTATTTTTTTTTTATCCTCATACACAATGCGAATTACTTTAGATACCTATTCAAAAAAACAAGTAATAGTTTTCGCAATTGGACCCTTAAAGTTATTGATAGAAAACAACTGGAGCTATTTGGTGGTTATTCCACTTGTATTGAAATTGAATTTATATTTTTGTTATGGTCTACTTTAAGCATTCGATAAATTCCTTCAACAGTCATACTTATACGTATATTTTTATTACAGAAAATATCTAGGTAATAGTTAGATATTAATTTGAAATAAATCAAGAATTAAATTTTTTTAAACTAATTTACACACTAAACTAATTTATAGTCACTAACCATGACTGATCGACTTTTTTTTTTGTATATGACTATTATCGACTATTATTATAGACGGATCTTAAATAATGTAATTTTTCCGAAAAACTGTATTTTTATTGCTAAAGACTACAAACCCCATATATTTCATATTATAAATATATTTTGTGTTCCATACTCATTAGTTATTATTCCATTTAAACCATATAATATTAAATATTTTATTTATTAATAAATATAAATAGTTTATTTACAAGAACGAGTTTTTACATTTGAATTATATTTAAATGTATTCAGTCACTACATCAAGTGCGACGGTAGTGACACGAAGCTAAGTATAAAAAAAATCGTAGTTACCACAACCAAGTATATGAACACGAAGTATATTTTTACCATTGAAAATTGTGTTAAATATTATCAATTCTTTGCCTGTTCGTACAAAGTTAACGGCTAAAAATTATAGGTTGTATATAGAATTGATCGATCACTTATATTATGCAGATGTGAATAAGTCAACTTTCAAATCGATTGGTTAAATATTTTAAAAGTTACAATCAAATTCTTTTAGTTACTTGTACGGCCGATTTCTTATATTCGACGACGAGTATTACCATTACGATGAGAACGCACCACTGCGTCGCGTTTGCCCACCAATCTAGATTTTCCTTTCCAAGCGAACGAGCATTATATATAATATACTATTGGCCATCGTCGTTGTGAAATTGTTTGTTTTACTTTCAATTATCATATTTTACAATTTTCCCTCTACTCACGTTTTTACTGCGGTGGCGATTACACTACGATTACACACAGACTTCTATACTATACATGTTTAAATTAAATAACATAATAATTATATTAATTAATTAAGTCTGTACGATTGCACCATGGACTAAGATGTATAGGTATATCTTAGTCTGTGATTATATTAAGTAAACTGATAATTATATCATTAAACTCACAGTTCCAAATATACAAAAACAGTGACAATAAATGCTATATATAATAAAATATGTAAATTGTAGTACTTGTAATATATTAATAAAATATATATTGTGAGTAGCAAATCATGCACAAAAATAATTGATGTCCACCAGTATTTGTTCTTTCAAATTCAAATTTGGAACAATTTTAATAGCAAAATCAAAATCTTGTAATTAATTGATTACCAATTTCAACAGTTAAAGTCTATGTCGGTACAAAATCAAAATATTGTAATCAATTTATTATCAATTTCAACAATTAATATCAATGGCGGTATATATATATATACTTAAACCAGTAATTTGCCATCATGTTCCATCTATGACTGAAGCACATTATTCATCGATAATTAAAAAAAAAGATGGATTAGATGCAACGATCTATCAACAAATATGGATTGCTGGCCTTGTGTTGGTAAGGATCGTCATAGCGATAGAGAAAAATATTAGTTACAATATTTAAAAAAAAAATTTAAGTAAGTGTAATGTAAGTAGTTTGATATAATAAATATAAAAAAAAACACATTAAATTCTTAAATAACAAAAAATCAGCTGATATCTCATCAAAACCACCCCCCTGGTTGTGCCACTGCAATTTTTAAGTAACTTTTTAGTGATCATACTATTTACTTTCTGCATGGTTATAAATCTGTATATATAAAACAGTAAGCTGATTGACTGCTATCAACGCACAGCTCAAACCATTGGACGGATGTGGCTGAAATTTGGCATACAGATAGCTATTATGATGTAGACGTGCGCTAAGAAAGGATTTTTCGAAATTTTGAATTTAAAGGGTTGAAATCGGTTTAATATTTTTTGACCAGGTCGATAACAGGTCGATCTCTAAAGGATATAAGGGAAAATAAAAGGTTAATGGGTGGTGTAACGGCTTTACTGGCTGGAGACTTTAGGCAGACTCTACCAGTAGTACCAAAAGGGACCAGAACTGATGAAGTCAAGTCATGTTTTAAAAGATCTACTTTATGGCCTAAGATTAATATACTCAAACTGTCAAAAAATATGAGGGTACACTTGGGAGAGGAAAAGTTTGCTGGTGGATTTTCAGATCTTTTACTTGAAATTGGCAATGGTGATTATCCATCGTTTGATGAAATGATAACTATCCCAGAAAATTTGTGTACAGTTGTAACTACGGTTCAGGATTTAATATCAAAAATTTATCCAGATATTGCTCATATTCATGATAAGCCTATGGAATGGTTATGTGAACGTGTTATACTCACCCCAAAAAATGACCAAGCGGCGGCTATCAATGATACACTGCTGATGTCTTTTGAAGGGGAAGAAAAAGTATATACTTCTATAGATACGGTGGTCAACATGGACGATGCAACTAATTATCCGGTTGAATTTTTAAATTCGTTGAAACCACCGGGCATGCCATATCATAGGCTTCTTCTGCGTGTGAGCACACCTATTATGTTGTTGCGAAATTTGAAACCGCTTAAACTGTGCAGTGGGACCAGGCTTAAAGTCAAAGCTTTACATCGCATATAGTAGAAGCCACAATTTTAACAGGATGTGCAAAAGGGGAAACTGTGTTTGTATCACGAATCCCTTTAATTCCGAATCATCATCCGTTCGAATTTAAACGATTACAGTTTCCCCTGAAAGTCTGTTTTGCAATGACTATAAACAAGTCTCAAGGCCAAACTTTTAAATTTGCAGGAATAGATTTGCGAGAAAACTGTTTTTCACATGGGCAGTTCTACGTAGCTTGCTCACGCATAAGCTCACCCAGTAGCTTGGTGATTTTGTCGCCTACTAATAGATCAGTGAAGAACATTGTCAACAAAGAAATTTTGTAGATAACATATTGAAAAACTATTAGTAAAACATTTATTTTGAACCTTTAGTGCTAAGATTTATCGTGAACAAAGCTTCTGCCGCCAAAAGCTATAAAGTATCGAATAGGTTATGATAATAATCATTATCTTAAAAACTAAATTAATATGTATAAAATATTATTTCAAAAATCTTAATTAATTTAAATTTCAATAGATTTAACAAAATTTAATCTTGGCAGGTTACATACATTTATATACTTAAACCTGGCAACGACGGGTAATTCAGCTAGTATTTTACAATAGTTTTTCTTGTTATCATTTATATTGTGTACTGTTAATTTTTTGCTGTTATTAATGCATTTGATCTTATGTATGTTCCACGTGATGTTACTTTATAAATTGCCGTTTGACGTAAATATAAATAAATAAATAAAATATATATATACATTAACCCGTGAAGCATAAAAAAGAGTGGTAAAAAAAATAAGAATAGAGGAAAACTTTGAAAAAAAGTAGAAAGATCAGTAAAAATGAATCAATGTTATTATTAAATAACCTAGCAAAAAATATTAAAAACAACGGTACATTTCAGCTCAATTATAGACGCCAAACCAAGATAACTACGTATATTTAGAGGCTCACAAGAAATTTGGAATGTGAAGTTTTTAAAGCATAAGAATCGACTTTGAACATACTTAAACTGTTTAGAGTCATCAGTTGTATAAATATCTTAAACTTTAACTTCATATTCAAAAATGAGGCATACAAGTGGACGGAATAATACTCGTATTTTTAGCGATATTTTAAACCGAAAGCATTTAGTCAATTTCATAACCAAACCAGGAGCTATGAAAGTTTTATAAAACACGTATTCAATTTAGGTACCTGGGTTAAGGTTGTATCTAAGTTTTAAGCCGTAGTCGATAGGACGAAAAATAATAGTATCATTAAAAAAGTATAAAAACATAAATCAAGAGTGGAATTCAAAAAGGTCATAATTTTGTACTTGAGGAAGTAAGGTAAAAAATATTTTATTAATAGTTGTTCGTTAGAACCGTAAGAATTTCTGCAGAATTTTCTCAATTTTATATTCATGTATCGCCGTGTAATAAAACCATATAATTGAGCTATATTCACAGATGGAACGTAACAGTTATATAGTGATATAATATGTAATATAATATTTAATATTATATTTAATATAATATTTCGACCAGGTCGATAACTGCGCAATTGAAAATGAATTATTAAATGAAACTTAAAAAAACTATTTAAAAACTATTAATTTTATTTTTGATATTAAATTACGAGTATTGCATAAGTATTAAACAACAAGATCCCGCAACAGGCGTCAAAACAAACAAGAATGTTAGTTCAAAGGATTATTATGCATATCGGTTGGTGATTGGACGTGATTAGGACGACGTTATTCTACGATGTCGAGCTTTGTCAACATTTCATGGTTGACATGTATGTAAAGATAGAGAGCGAACGATTACGATACTTGCAATTTAATCAAAAAAAGCTGCGTGTGGAAGATTCTCAAAACAATTGTTAAATATCGGTAATGGGAAAGTTACTACGGACGAAACAAGATGCATAAAATTAACGACCGATTTCTGCACAATCATTGATTCGTAAGATGCTTTCATTGACCAGATATTTTCCAATGTACACAGACAATACACAAATCATGAGTGGCTGGCAGAAAGAGCAATTTTAGCAGCAAAAAATGTGGACGTCAACGAATTGAATCTCAAGATACAACATTTGTTATCAGGAGACTTGGTGTCATACAAATCTATTGATACAGTTTGCGATGCTACTGAAGCTGTAAATTATCCAACAGAGTTTTTAAACTCATTGGATTTACCAGGAATGTCACC